AACAAACTCACATGCAACCTTTTACAACATCAGGATAAACCTTTCTCCAGACTAAGCCCTTAACAAGAGATTGTGTGTAAGCAACTGCAAAACCCAACAAAACAAAACAAGTTATTCATGATACAATTGCTTGCCACCCTGTGCTGGTTTGAAAGCAAACCAGTGAGAACATTCAAGTCAGAAATACAATTTAATAAGAAAAAATAAAACAATAAATGCTACAGTACAGAAACAACCACTGTCAGAATCAGAAAGTAACCTGACACCCTGACAGTCAAGGTGTTGGTAGTAGTCCGATCAAATGGTTGCTGCAGTCCTCCGGAGTGATGGGTTTGTTGGGGCAGTGATCCCGCAGACCCGGTTCTCTCCTGAAGGTCCAGCAGCAGCTCTTGTCCTCTGGGAATCCAGCAGGCAAAGGGCTACCTGTGCTGGTATCCCTGTGAGCATGTTTGGCTCCCCACCCATGGGTCACCTCACCTCACCATGGGACAAGAGATAAGGATCACTGGGAGGATGTGCCATGCATGGGTCCTTGACAGCCCGTCAATCAGAGGCCCTGAGGGAGGGACAAGGTGATAAAAATCACTGCTTCACCTGCTTTAACAGCTTGTGGAGATGATAATGGAATACACACCATTGGATACCCCCCCACACTGCAACCCAGGACAGCAACCTAATCTATAGTGGAAAAACTTGATATGATTTACTTTAATCATAACTGAGATATATTTATTGAGCAGTGCATCACTCCTTCCTTGCAGAGGAGTAGCCTTGTAGATCTTTGTCCCCTCAAAGTGTGTGCTGAAGTAGCTTCTTTCAGCTCGTGTGCTTAATCCTCAACTTTTCTGTTAAAGGGGTTTGTACAGCTTTCTGAGTGACCACAAAGAGCAGAGCGTTCACGGAGTAATTCTTGCTTTCTTACATACTCCATTGTTGTGGCATCAGGGCTCCATATCTACAAAGTAAAGGTATTTGTCATTAATTTGGATGTGATTTCTATAACAGAAGCATTAAGAAGATACCATTAGCCAAATAGAGCTGTGTTCTAGCAGTCCTTTCCACTCTGAGACATAGAAGAGAACTAGTGCGGTCTTCCAGCAAAAGATATAAAAAAAATTTGTACACATATATAAGTACAGAATTCTCTACTTGTCACTTCCAATGTACAGCATACCATAGGCTCAGATTACAGACAATGTGAGAAAGAAGATCTGAAGGTAATTATTTAAAACAACTGGCTCAGGCCCATGATCCTCAGAGTGGAAAACAGTAATTAGCTGTAGAGTCACTGACAACATAGCCATAGTCCCCTGAGACCACTGCAGAAACTGGCACAAATCAGGGTTAGGGAAATTATACACTCCGAACAAAACTTCTCACCCAGCAATGGTATTCTTTTTCTTTTTAAGGAGAAAAAAGAATATTAACAAATTACCTCTCTGTGACCATTTTTTTTCTGTTTCTCAGTTATTCATAAGTACTAACAAGTCCCTGAGAGAGAAGTTGTATTTTCAGTATTCTAAATCTAGGAAGTAAATGTTTAATGTACTGTATGATTCATCCAGTCCAGTAACTGTCTCTGACATAAGTCATCATGTGATAACTAACTGAGAAGGCAAGTTAGAAGTTGGTGCTCATCCTGTGTACATAAGCTCCTATCCTTTGAGAGTAGGACTATAAAATCCATACCATGAATGTAGGTGCATTTGTATTTTACTGTGGGTCCACTTTAATCCTATTTTAAAACCAAATAAGAGCTTGATTTCCACAATAATTTGTTTTATATAAATACATATACATATATATATGTATATAATACACAGCCATGAGCTCTTTACAGTTGTTTCGGGGCAACCTCTCCAGCCTGTGTCACATTGTCTCTAAGCCAGTTCAATTCATTTCATCAGATTGTCCTGGGTTTTGATCACAGCAAGGTCTACCTTTAGATTAACTGCAAATTGCACTTTGTGTTTTGCTGCTGTACATACTTTTCTGGGTTTGAAGGTGATGTTCTCTCCCTCACTGGGTCCCAAAGAACTCGGATAAATACCACTGTCCTCACAGGAATGCGTTCTCTCTTCAGGAACAGGTTTTTCTACAGCTGGCTGAGGTACCTCTGGAGGCTGAAAGAGAAGTTATCAGTTATACCAATACACCATGTTCAGAATCATACAATGTTAAGGGAGTGGAATCGACCTTGAAGATCATCTAGTCCTGACCCCTGCCATGGGCAGGAACACCTCCCACTAGACCAGGTTGCTCAAGGCTATATCCAGTCTGGCTATGAACACTGCCAAGGTTGGGGTAAAAGTCACCTAGTAGTGCTGGTGATCCCATCCTGTTCTAGATGACAAATAAACAAGCACCTAAGGTTGTTGCCCTCCCCTTCAAAACATTTTTGGAAGGGGAAAATCAGCATTTAGCTACTGGGACATAGTTATCACACTGTCCAGGGCAGGACTGCTGAAGGCCATTTCCAGCCGTGTAGATACATTTTCTCCCTTAATAGCACCCCGGGTCTGACTAACAAGTACCACTGGTAAATCAGGAAGGTTTCATTCACATTATAGAGCCAGGATGTGATCATGGAGGTTGATGTCAGCTTGGAAAACGGGACTATGCCGAGGTACTTGAGGCTCCCAGGGTGTGCAGGAAAAGCATTCTGCAACAGCCCAACACCAGTGTGGGATTTGAGAAACAGGACTCAGGTCAACAATAGAAAGGAAGGATATGGGACAAGATGGGAAATGAGAAGTCAGCAAGCCTGATATCACCTCAGTGAATTCCATTAGAGAACAAAAAGGTCTTCTTACCAATTTAAAGGGTCTTGTTCTTATCCTGTGAAGGAAGAGGTGCTCCCTTTAAAAAATTATGGTTACCAGTTTTTCATTGTTTACCACAACAGAGATGGATGACAGTAAACTTCAGGAGGAGGGAAAATGAATAGGAAATATTTTTCTGTGTCCTATCAGTGATACAGGATTTAATTTTTATACGGGTCTGGGGAAGACATGAAGTTTTTAAAATTGGCAAGACAAAATTTCAACCAATGAACAGAACTTGTACAGACAAGAACAAGTACAGGCATCTGAAAACCATCACTTTAACAAAGCTGCCTGATTTATAGCTTTAGAGAGAAGTGGATGGCAAAGGAGTGAAAGAAAGAAACACTCTACTAACTATTAGCAGATCAGTCCTTTGTTGCCATCTCTCATACCTCTTTTTTCACAGGTATCTGTGTAGAAGATGACTTTGGCTTTGCAGCTTCTGCTTGCTTTGCGTCTTCTTTTCCTGATACTTCTTGCAAATTTTTCAGATGATTTTTGAGCAGATCAATTATTCTAGGATCTCTAAATTCTTTAGCAATATCAAGAGCATTCTTTCCTGTATTTTAAAAAAATAAATACCTATATAAAGCATGAAACTTAACTTTGGCACTTGTTATTGCAACTGCATAATGACAGTACAGTCAACTGAATTTCATTTGGTCACTATTATATTAGCCATTCTCTGTGCCTGACATTGGTATAAGGACCAGCTTGCAGAAATAAGGCATTGCAGAAACAAGCCTGGAACCTTAATATTGCAGAAATTCTTGAATTCTTAATGTCCTGACATTTGCAGCTTAATATGCTGATCCTGCAGTTGTTATTTTGATCTCAGAGCTGAGAGCACTTAGCACTAGGAGGTGGCTAGCACAGTACAAGGATAGGAATGCAGACCAAGTTATTGTAGCTATCTCTTTCTTTCTGTACTTGCTCTGTGGCTGGCAAGGGAAACCCCTAGGGGGCTGAACACCTTCAGAGCTTAATAATGGTAAAAAAAACCTCTCCTGGATGTTATGAGACTCTGTGGCTAGAAAGTAGTTGAGAGACTGAACTGCTGTGTGAATCAGAACCCCACATGGTAACAGGAATAAGGAATACACATCCCTTCTACAAGCAGGGTTTCACCTACTAGGCATTTTGGCAAGGAAAGTCTCATTGTGTGGCAATGTTGCTTCCCATGTTAGAGCAAGAGCTTAAAAATGTAATGTGTTAACTGTTCAAATTACTCTCGAAACAGAAGAAATAACACTGAATGAGGGATCTGCCGTGAGGAGGTAACACTTCAGTATCAGTTCAGGTTTGTTTTTCTGTTGAGCATTTTTTCTCAGGGAGTAATATTTACACGCTAGGCAGCAAGGATTTATTTTTTTTAACCAGGGCTGCCTGTGCCTAAAAATAAGGCACTTAAATGGGTGGCAGAGTATACACCAGCCACAACTGAAATCTAATTTTCCCTCTAGTAATAATAATGGCTTGATAGAATGTTTTCATTAAAGGCACTTATAACTCTGTATATATCTTGTGAGGAGCAGCAGTCTCCTTAATCATGTAATTAATTATGTTACTTTATTTCTAGATGCATAAACCCCAGGAAAGCTGACTATTTACAATAGTGGTTCCACACTGTAGAAAACTAATGGAACCTGTTACCTTCATCCCAATCCTGATAGCAATCCTAAATTCAAAGTGTTCCAAGAACTTCAGTGTTTGTAACAAAACATGTATACACATAAAGAAACAGCCTTTTTTGGAGACACTGATATCTACCTTTGCTGTTTGTAGTTTGGATGTTGGCACCAGCCTTGATTAAAAAATAGACAATGTCCACTCTGCAGACCTCAATGGCTCTCATCAGTGGGGTTGCATTGCCTATTGCAGGGGCATCCACAGCTGCTCCAGCCTTCACTAGCAGCTCCACAATATCTAGGTGTCCATTACAGCAAGCATGGTGCAGAGGAGTCCACAGGAAATTGTCTGTGGCATTTGCATCAGCCCTGCAAAAGAGTAAGAGCAGTTGTGGCAGCTGAAGCTGGATAATACCTACAGTAACATCCCCAGCTCCAAGTACAATCTATAGGAACTGCTCCCTGCAATGGCATATTCAATGTAAATAGCTTTTTTCATATTGCTACTGCTACTTTGAAACCTTTTGAGTCTCTCACATAGAGCTTGTCATGGAATAGCAATTCTAAGAGTGTGCCTGAGTGGTGATCATGTCCTCACTCATGTCCCCCCTCTAAGCCAACACAGTGTCCTCTGCATGGAGGTTTTCACAGGTACAGGGAAAAAACCCAGTCGAACACCTCAGTCCTGTAAAATGCTGCTAGTGTTTGTTCTCCAGCTTCACTGAGAATGGCAAAAAGCTGGTTAAGAAATTCCAAAATGTATGCTTTTAGGCCAAGAACAGGTGCTCTAAAACATGTGGCAACGTTGCACAGAGTTTGTCTGCACAAGAAAAAGATGTTCATCTTTCAGCGTTGCTGCCCTCTGCCTGCTTCATTCCTGTGCACTGGCTTCTCCCTGTGACAAATGAGTTACAGAAGGTCTGCCTCAGAAATCTGAGAACTGAAAACTTTTTCAGCTACCGTGTCACTGGACTAGATCTGGTTTTGCTCTCAAATTAAAATTGCAATGTTCTGGAGAATGCAAGGGCTGCTTCAGGGGAGATATTTGCAGTATGCTGGCTTTGGATGAAGCTGCGAGGAAAAGCATTATCAGCCCTAGAGGTCCTGAGCTGAGTTAAGGTCACTGTCACTCTATGGACAAAAAGCTCTTGGTCTTCCCAAAAGACAGGTAGGGAGGGAGAAGGAATATAAGGCTAGATAAAAGATCAGATTAATATGTTCTTCTTTTCTTGTTTAAATTTTTTATCTTTTTCAGAATTCTACTTTTGGTGAGATTTTATCACAGTAAGTTCCCCTGACCTACCACTTTTACCTTCATTACCTCTCAGTTACTAATCTGTTATGGTTTATTCGTATGCAGTTTTCATTTCCTTTATATTTCTCATTATAAGACATTCCAGCTTTTCCACTTCCTCTCCCAACCCAACCGCTATGCCTGTACTCAGACTCTGCCTGCCCCTTCTTGCCAACTCCCTTCTATCAGAAACAAACCAATCAATGGGCACAGGGACAATGCAGCTCTGACTTAAAAATTCAGCAGCACTTTCTCCTGATCAAGCACTGAATTTCCCTTTAGCCCAAATTTCATTTACTTCTGAGTCTTTCTGGAGCAAGATAGAAAGTAGATACCATCAATTTATGTTTAAACCTTGGCATTTTCTATAGTTCTGGAAAAATGTTTTGTTTCCTATTTGATATGGATTTGTGATATCATACTGAAAAGGTTATATTGCAAAAAGTATTTGAATGCCTGTGCCAGACTCGAAGTCCATGCTGCTGAGAGATGCAAAGCTAAACACTACCACTGACTTTCCTCTCCATTTTCATTTCTGCCAATTTAAAAATCTCAAAACTGATACTGTTTTTTTAAGCTAAGTTATTAAGGTTTAACTGTTAAATGTTGTGTGACTCCACTGCTGTGTAGTGAGGGCCGGTAAAACCAATGGAGATTAATTTGGTAGATTAATTTAGTAGCTCTTACATCTTTATCTTTGGAAGACACGAATATACACATCACACAACTTTCCGTATGCCCCAGGAATGTCAGTCTGATTATTAGGGTATATAAAGATCCATGTGCTGTTAGTCTTTGCAGGAACCAGAGCAATGACTACAGCCACCTATCCTGAGAAATTAATGTTAAAATGAATTCTGTCTATAGGTAGAGAACACAGTTAATGTAAATATCTGAAAAATGTTCATTTAGGCATTTATGTGAATGACTGCAGGACTACAGCAGTCTGACAATAAGAAGAGATTATGCTATTACACAAGTATGACTGAATCTTTCTGAAATTGCTTTCATTTTGAAGCCAATCTTGAGGTTTTTTACAAGTGTGTCTGTAGGCTACAAAATTGCTGAAGCACTTCCAAAGTGAGGAACAGATTAAATATCAGCACAGGCTTCTACTGTAAATCCTGCTGCCTTGGCTGCAGACGAAAGTGGTTACAAGGCTTAAAACATTTGCATGCAAAGGCCCTGACATGGGGAACAGGGTAGTCAGGGTCACCTTGATGATTTCAGGCAAGTCACTTGAGCCAGATTTCCCCAAAATCATTCACCCAATTTTGAGAGTTCAGTTTTGAGGATACACTGCTTGAGTCATGGGTATGCAGCCATGGCAGCAGTTCAACAGAACTCTGCAGCTGACCAAATGTCAACAGCCCAGACACCAACAATTTCAGGCCTGGGAACTTACCTCTTGGGTGTTTCCATTTCCCTGTTGCTAAACCATGAAAAATAACAAATCAACACTCCATAACTTGGGATTTTATAGAACTGACTGTAATATTAAATGTTATGTGAGCAAAAAGTAAACCAGAGCCTGTTGCATCCAAATATTTACTGGAAATTTATGCTTCTGAAAGCCTTTGCAAAATAAAAGTTAAAAAAAATTATCAGAAAGTCTTACCCCTTTTCCAGAAGATACTGCACAACAACTATGTCCCCACTTGCACATGCAGCCATCAACGGTGTTTTGTAACAATTATCTTTTATGTCTACTTCCACACCCTCCTCAAATGCTTTCTGTAGGGACACGATGTCTCCTGCTCGGACAAGGTAGTTAATATCCATGTACGTTTTCCTTGGCTGCTCGATGTACCAGGCACGATCATCATGCACAGGATGGGCAGATGGGTGCTCCTGGTTAAAGTGGTGGTCATCAGGAATATTTGGAGTAGCCTCAATCATGTACAGAGGGAAACCATCTTCCCTACGTGGATATGCACTCTTTGGAATAACACAAATGGGCACAGGGATACCTCTTCTCCCTCTTTTTTTCTTTGCTTTTCGCTTCTTCTTTGCTTTGGGCCCAAAGGATGCTATAAGATAGTTTTTCTCCAAGTATTTTGTGCCTTTAAAAAATTCGTCAATGCTGATCTCCTTAGGGTGAGATTCTTCATGCATCTTAGCAATAGTTTGTATATATTCAATGTCCACAAAGTCCCAGTGCTTCTGAATAATTGATATAAAATCACCTGAAGCTACCATCCCATCTCCTTTGTCCACAGCCCCAAACTCCTTGCGGAGGGCATCCTCGTGCTCCAAGGACCAGTCATACAGCCTCAGGTGCCAGTGAAAGTCTTCTCCATCCTTCGGGGTTGGTGCTATTTTAAAGTTATTTTCAATTTTACGCAATGCTGCTGCTGCTGCTTTAAAACGACCTTTCCTGGCAACATCTCTTGGGGTCTGATGTAACAAGTTTTTCCAGGTAGGATCACAGCCTAAAAATATGGACAAAATTTTGCTAATAGTGCAGTGGAATTCCTAATTATGTAATAGAAGGCAGTTGTAACATGCAGGCAACTCATTGCCAACAGGTCTACAATTTTATACTGTTGTAACTATTAGTAGTGATCGTAGGTGGAACCACAGCATTTATCTCAGACTGGAAGGTCAGCCACAGTTGTTTCCCAAAGGGAGAAGCACTGGATAACCCATGCTCTATTTATCCATCCACTAGTGAATATGCATAGAAAGGCAGAATTTCAGTGGAAACTTTAAATTTTACCTAAGATGGTTGTCCTGGTTCCAGCCAGGACAGGGTAAACTTTTGCAGCAGCCAGGAAGGGCACACTAGGACCCTGGGGTTATTCTCTACCACCTCACACCATGCGGAGGGGACAGAGGGGCTGGGGGTACCCTTTGTCCCAGCAAAGGTTGCAGAAGGGTTTATTATATCATATA